ACTGGCCGATGCACAATTTTCTCTACACATGTGCGTTAGTTACCTTTCAAACCCTTACGTTCACTAGATGAATATATTTCCTACTTTCTATTTGAGTGAGACCACTTGATTCCGTGTACTATGCGACATCTGAGCGCTTCCGTTCTCCCTGGCATTTGCATTTTAAGTTCCGATTCTGACCGACCTGGCCAATGCACCATTTTCTCTATACATGTGCGTTAAATACATTTCAAACCTTTTTAGCTGACTAGATTTATATGTTTCCCACCTTCTGATCGAGTGAGACCGTTAGTTCCCTCTAGTTTTTGAGAAACGAGCGTTTCCGTTCTCCCTGGCCCCACCTGCACTATGACTGCGAAATGCCGGCCAGACTGGCCGATGCACCATTTTATCTACACATGTGCGTTAGTTACCTTTCAAACCCTTACGTTCACGAGATGAATATATTTCCTACCTTATATTTGAGTGAGACCACTAGATTCCGTGTACTATGCGAGATCTGAGCGCTTCCGTTCTCCCTGGCATTTGCACTCTAAGTTCCCATACTGACCGACCTGGCCAATGCCCCATTTTCCATATACATATGCATTAGATTCCTTTCGAACCTTATTAGCTCACTAGATTTATATATTTCCCACCTTCTGATCGAGTGAGACCGCTAGATTCCCTCTACTTTTTGAGAAATGAGCGTTTCCGTTCTCCTTGGCCCTACTTGCACTATAAGTGCGAAATGCCGACCAGACTGGCCGATGCACAATTTTCTCTACACATGTGCGTTAGTTACCTTTCAAACCCTTACGTTCACTAGATGAATATATTTCCTACCTTATATTTGAGTGAGACCACTAGATTCCGTGTACTATGCGAGATCTGAGCGCTTCCGTTCTCACTGGCATTTGCACTCTAAGTTCCCATACTGACCGACCTGGCCAATGCACCATTTTCCATATACATATGCATTAGATTCCTTTCGAACCTTATTAGCTCACTAGATTTATATATTTCCCACCTTCTGATCGAGTGAGACCGCTAGATTCCCTCTACTTTTTGAGAAATGAGCGTTTCCGTTCTCCTTGGCCCTACTTGCACTATAAGTGCGAAATGCCGGCCAGACTGGCCGATGCACAATTTTCTCTACACATGTGCGTTAGTTACCTTTCAAACCCTTACGTTCACTAGATGAATATATTTCCTACTTTCTATTTGAGTGAGACCACTTGATTCCGTGTACTATGCGACATCTGAGCGCTTCCGTTCTCCCTGGCATTTGCATTTTAAGTTCCGATTCTGACCGACCTGGCCAATGCACCATTTTCTCTATACATGTGCGTTAAATACATTTCAAACCTTTTTAGCTGACTAGATTTATATGTTTCCCACCTTCTGATCGAGTGAGACCGTTAGTTCCCTCTAGTTTTTGAGAAACGGGCGTTTCCGTTCTCCCTGGCCCCACCTGCACTATGAGTGCGAAATGCCGGCCAGACTGGCCGATGCACCATTTTATCTACACATGTGCGTTAGTTACCTTTCAAACCCTTACGTTCACTAGATGAATATATTTCCTACCTTATATTTGAGTGAGACCACTAGATTCCGTGTATTATGCGAGATCTGAGCGCTTCCGTTCTCCCAGGCATTTGCACTCTAACTTCCCATACTGACCGACCTGGCCAATGCACCACTTTCCATATACATATGCATTAGATTCCTTCCGAACCTCATTAGCTCACTAGATTTATATATTTCCCACCTTCTGATCGAGTGAGACCGCTAGATTCCCTTTACTTTTTGAGAAATGAGCGATTCCGTTCTCCTTGGCCCTACTTGCTGTGAGAATAAGCGAACAGGAATGAATGAACTAGCAGTGAAATGAGTACAAATAGGAAACCCTAGAATTGTGTACCCCCTATAGGCTAACCCACTGTAGTCTACACAAGCATAACATATATAATGTTTGACACACCCCCATAGGCAAAGTGGGGGAGAACAAGGGGTCACAAGACCGGTCAAGCAAAGCAAAGCAAGCTCAAGGTGGATCACAAAGTCACCACACAGTCCGAGCACAAGAGCAGGGCCAGAGGCCAGTTCACATGCAGGAGTACAGACATATATATAAAACTAGACAAGCAAGAGCAGGTATATATATATGTCACAGTACAAGTAAAGTCAAGAGGAGAGCAAGTGAGGCAAGACAGACACAAGACCCAGCTGGGTACAAAAGCGCTGATGGTCACAAGGCGCAAGTGCCTTAGTGAACACATCAGCAGTGTTGGCCTCAGAGGCCACGTACGCAAGTCGCAACTGACCACGCTGCTGCAGCTCACGAGCAAGGAAGTAGCGGAGAGCAATGTGCTTCGTTCTGTGCTCCAAGCGCTGCTCTCGACACAAGGCCAGCATAGCCTTGTTGTCTACGTACAGCACTGGAGGAGAACGAGGCGGCTCTCCAAGGTCAGTCAGCAGGTAGGTGAGCCAGCGAAGCTCCTGTGCAGCCATGGCCCCGGCGTAGATCTCAGCCTCACAACTGGAGCCGAGAACCGAAGACGAACGAGTAGACCGCCAGGAGACAGAGCCGGAACCAAGACTGAAGGTGTAACCCTGTGACGACCGCTGCGTAGCCTGGTCGTCAGCCCAAGAAGCGTCCGCGTGGCCTGTAAGGACCACTGGACTCCGCCCTCCAAGCACTAGCCCCATGCCCAACGTACTGCACAGGTAGCGCAATACCCTCTTAGCTGCAGCCATGTGCTCCGGTCGGTGTCTCCCAGGAGCAACATAGCGTGCAAGAATGCTCAGAGGGTATGCAAGGTCAGGTCGTGTGCAGGTCATCAGGTACATGAGGCAGCCAACAAGCTCTGGGTACGGGCCACTCGACTCTACGGACTCATCCGAAGGCAGAGCTGAGAGCGAGTGACGAGTAGACAGAGGAGTGGCCTGAGGCGAGGAGTACGTGAAGCCGAAGCGCTGAAGGACCTGCTGCACCATGTGTGACTGAGTCAAGGTAATGGTGCGGCGTGCTCTGTCCCGAGTAATCTGCAAGCCAAGGTAGCTGCGCAGTTCACCCAGGTCTGTGCACGTGTGTCTCTTCAGCAGCTCGGACTTCACGTAGGCGAGTCCAGCAGTGTCCGCTGTGGCAAAGACCAAGTCGTCGACGTACACGAGGATGTAGAACGGCGGCAGTGAAGTGTCGGTGCGCAGAAACAGCGACGGGTGAGCAGTAGACGGAGCAAACCCAAGAGCCGCAAGCGTAGTCCTCAGTGTGTCGTGCCACTCACGCGATGCCTGGCGGAGACCGTAGACTGGCCGTCGGAGGCTCCACTGGGTGCCAGGAGGGAAAGTCCCAGTGAAGCCAGGCGGACGGCGCAGCCAGATCTCCTCGTGCAGGCTACCCTGCACGAACGCAGTGCTGAAGTCGAGAGAGTGAAGCTCGTAGTCACGCTGAGCAGCTATGTGCAGCAGCACCCGAAGAGTGGTCATCTTCGGGGTGGGAGAGAAGGTCTGAAAGTAGTCAACTCCCTGCCGCTGACTGAAGCCACGAGCAACGTACCGTGCCCTGAAGACAGGTGGAGAGCCCGGCGGCCGCTTCACCCTGAAGATCCACATGCCACTGACGATGTTCGCCCCAGGAGGGGGAACTGCGTCAACGTAGGTGCCTGTGGACTTCCAGGAAGCCATCTCTGCATCCATAGCTGCCTGCCACTGAGAGGAGTAGGGACCCTCTACGGCCTCCGCGTAAGAGCGCGGAGTCGGGATGTCTAGTGCATCCGGGTCTCCCTCAGGAGCAAGCAGTACAGACGCGAGATGAGGTGAAGCGGCCGCTAGACACTGTAACTCCTCCTGCCTGTCCTCTAGGACGTCCGTGCCAAGAGCACACTCACCCCCGACGGACGGAGGACAGACAGACGCAGACTCAGCAACAAGACTAGCAGCGTAGTCTAGACGACAGCAAGCAGCAAAGTCGACGAGCTCAGCGACAAGAGCAGACGCAGCAGTGGACTCAAAAGAGGGGTCAGTGACGACAGTAGCAAGCAGACGCGTGACAGTAGGACTGGCAGCACGAAGAGAGTCCGACTCAGGGTCGGCAAGCGCAGGAACAGAGGACTCAGGAGGAGAAGGCAAAGGGGCACGCAGAGGAGCAGTGGACGGACGCAGAGACATCCGGTGCGTGCCAGGGACAGGAGGAGGACGCTGACGCGAACTGCGACCACTAGCACGAGCAGCACGAACAGGCGACGCGGGACGGGACGCAGGCTCACGACGCTCAGCAAGACCTCCAGTAGGACCAGTGTAAGGAGAGGGAGCAGGCAGTGGAGAGGACGGCTCCAACAGTGACTGCGACCGAACCGGCTGTGGACCCTCTACTGAAGGAGAAAGACCAAGAACCTGCTGTAGGAGCGGAACGAAGTACGGCCGAGGCCGCGCAGCAGCTCCAGACTCAACAGGGACAGCACCAGCACCCTCAGCGACAGCACCAGCGCCACCCACACCTCCAGCGGCAGGACCAACAGCAGTAGTCTCAGCACCAACAACCTCAGCAGCTCCAGCTCCAGGAGGACCCGCAGGTCCAGCAGCTCCGGGACCGGCAGCACCCGCACCCTCGACGGTCGAAGAAGCTCCAGCTCCAGCTCCAGCAGCACCCCTAGACTCAGCAGCACGCCTCCAGCGGCGAGCGAACCACTCGCGCAGCTCCTGTGGAGAGAGGGGCTCCCGGCGAGACGCAGCAGCAGGAGAAACCCCAGGCTCAGCAGCTCCAGACGCAGCACCCCCAGGCTCAGCAGCCCCCAGCTCAGCACCCCCAGACCCAGCACCGCCAGGCACAGCACCCCCCAGCTCAGCACCCCCAGGCTCCGCACCCTCCACAGTAGCGCCCACAGGCCCAGCACCCCCAGGCTCAGCACCTCCATGCCTAGCACCCTCGCGCACAGCACCCCCAGAGTCAGCACCCCCAGGCTCAGCACCCGCAGCAGCACCAGAGTCACCAGTAACCTCGACCGGGTCAACTGCGTCTACCTGGGACACACATGAGGGGGCAGGAACCTGAGGGGGGAGGGGGTCTACCGGGGGAGGAACCGGGACAAGGAAGTCCGGTGGAGGGGGGAGGGAAGGAGTGCGGTAGGGGAAGAGGCGGTAGAAGGGGACTGACTCGTCGAACGTGACGTCCTGGGAGGACAGAACACGACGAGAGGAGGGGTGGTAAAACTGCCACCCTGGAGCGTCAGTGGGGAAGCCAAGGAAGACACAGGGAGCAGCACGAGGGGACAGCTTGTCCGCAGACAAGTCGCGGACAAACGCCCGAGATCCCCAGACACGGAACGCCGACGCATCGCCAACCTTCCCCGTCCACAGTAAGACTGGGGACATCGTGGGCCGAGAGACCCTGGGGTAAAGGTTGAGCTGATGCGCCGCATACCGCACCGCAAACGGCCACAGAAAATGGGGGGCAGCCGCATGCATCATGGACGTACGAGCGACATCCATGACCATGACAATGCGGCGCTCAGCAATCCCATTTTGCTGTGGAGAGTCCGGAAGCGTGAAGGTCTGGCGGATCCCCCGTGCACGACAGTAGTCTCGCAGAAGGCGAGAGGAGAACTCTCCGCCTCTGTCCGAGTGCAGACGCAGAACAGGAAAGTCCGAGCCAAAGCTCTGCCTGAGCTGGAGACGAGCCGCGCTGATCCAGTCGATCAGCACCTCAGTGACAGCACCCTTGCTGCGCAAGGGGAGGACTGTGGTGTACCGCGAGTAGTCGTCAACCACCAACAGGAAGTAGCGCTCGTGACCCTGCCCACGGACGGGGGCTGGGCCCCACACATCCATGTGAAGCGTCTGCAGAGGAGCCTCTGTCGGGGGGAACTGGGAGGAGAGAGGAGTAGCCCGGAGGCGACCCTCGACACAGGGGACACAGGAAGGTCCTGACCCGGAGGGAAGGGGAGGGAGAGACCGGGGCAGACCAGAGACAAGGACACGGGAAGCCATGCTCCGAAGACGGGGCATGGACGGGTGGCCAAGACGGTGGTGCCACAGGAGAGTCTCGTGAGACAGGAGGCGACAAGAACAGGGGGCAGACTCAGGACCTGACCGGGACGCAGCAGCAAGCACCTGACCTGACGCAGCTACCTGACCAGACGTAGGGACAGGAGGAGACGCAGTGGTCAGGGTGTAGAGGCTCGACCCCAGCCGACGTGAGAACGTGGCCAGGTGCCGGCCTGTGCGTGCGTCCGTGCAGTGGGTCACCCGCTGACTCGCAGGAGTGAACTGGTGAACCCCCGCATCCTGCAGGTCCGCACCACTCACCAAGTTCGTAGAGAACGAGGGAAGGTACAGTCCAGACAGGGTGCCCGAAGGGGCAGCCGGACACGGGAGGACAGTGGAGAAGTGAGAGAGGACAGGACCCCCAGAGGGGTCAGCCAGGGAGACGGCAACCGGCCGACCAAGCGGCGTGAGAGTGGTGCGGTCTCGAAAGAAGGAGCGAGAAGCCCCGGAGTCAAGTGTGTAAGTGAGGGAGGAGGAGGGCGACGCAGTACCTGAGAGCGCAGTCTCACCAGTACCTGAGAGCGCAGACGCACTGGCACCTAGAGCAGCAGCCTCACAAGCACCTAGCGCAGCAGTACCAATGCCCGGGTCGGGCTGGAAACACCGGTAACCCTCATTCTCCTCACTAATAGTCACAGCATACATAGCGGCAAGGATAGCATCAAAATCAAGATCAAAGATCGCTACACCAGCCCTAAGAAGCTCATCCCAGCGAGGGATCTCACTAGCCCCGGGGAACTGCTGACGCCAAGCGTCCGTCAGGCGGCCAAAGCAGCGCTGAGTGGAGTGGGCACCCCCACACTGCTCACCCGCGCGGTCGCCGGAACGAAGAACGTAGGTGCAGGGACCAGTACCCCCACCCCTCTGACGCCCAGTGTACCACTCACGAAGCTGCTGAGGCGGAGGGATGTCCCGCGAGCGCTGCTGCTGCTGCCGCTGCGAGCGCTGGCCACCACCACCGCCGCTACGCTGCTGGGTACCACCCCGACCAGCTCCGCCCCCTCCACCACCACCGCCTCCTCCGCTGCCGCCTCCACCGCCTCCACCTCCGCCGCCTCCACCTCCGCCGCTGCCACCTCCACCACCGCTGCCACCACCACCACCGTCTCCGCCGCTGCTGCCACCACCACCACCACCCCCGCCACTACTCCCGCCGCCACCCCCACTCCCTCCGCCGCCTCCACCGCCACCGCCACCGCCCCCTCCAGCTCCACCCGCGCCCTTGCCCCCCTTGCCCTTGCTAGAGCGAAGTCTCCCACTAGGGGCAGACGCCGCGCCGACCGACTCAAGACCAAGCAGGTCGGCAGCAGTAGCAGAGGCAACAGAGGGCAGCAAGGGGGAAGGAGAGCACCCCTCAAAGATGGGGGTGCGAGGGTCACCACGAGAAGCACCTACAGCGACTATGCTCTTCTCCGCTGCGAGGAGGGCCTTCTCGAGGAGGTCGACGGTGAGGGTGGTGGGACAGACTGCGAGAAAGTGGTCCCTGACTACGCGAAGGGAGTCAGGGAGGCGCGCGACTACGTTGTAGAGAGTGATGTACATGGGGGGGGGTTCTTAGCGCAGAATTCAGCAGGAAGGGCGGCGCGGTAGCGAGTGTCACTAGTGCGGAGGTGCGTAATGAGGTCAGCGACAGTGGGAAAGGCAGAGAGGTCAGGAAAGAGGTAGGGAAGCATGAGACGGCTCAGTGCAGCAGTGGCAGGGGAGGAGTAGCGCGCAACTACAGCGTCGTACAAGGTCTGAGCACTCTTGTACTGACTAAAGTGCGCACGCTCAGAGGTAGGGAGGTGGCGACGCACAGCAAGACGTGCAGCAGCATCGCGGGTGGCCCACTGAGAGCGGACAGTGGGATCAGCATCAGCAGCAGGAGCAGGAGAGGCGCCAGAGGTGAGGTCAAAGAGAGAAAGGCCGTCTGCTCTGTCGCACTGTAAGAACAGCTGCAGGTCGTCTAACCAGACCTCAAAATCAATGGCGCGACCCTCAGCGTTAAAAGCTAGGACACTAGGGGTAGCCATGGCGACGACAGCAAAGCAGTGCAAGCAGTAGGGGAAGAGCACGCAGTGACAGTGGGACTGTGCTCACCAGGCAGGGCAGGACGTGCAGCTCTGCAGAAAGGCGGCTCGGCGACCGGGCGGCTCGGGTGCACAGCGGCTTGGCTCCCGGGCGGCTCAGCGGCTGGGCGGCTCGGGTGCAGGGCGGCTCGGCTCCCGGGCGGCTTGGCGACAGGGCGGCTCGGGCGCAGGGCGGCTCGGCTGCACTGCTGCCCGACTGCTGCAGGTGGGGCGGCGGGGCCGCGTGGGAGAACCGGGGTGGGGCCGCGTCAGAGCCGGCGGCAAGGCCGCGTGAGGGCCGGCGGCGGGGCCGCGTGAGAGCCGGGGCGGGGCCGCTTCAGAGCTGGCGGCAAGGCCGCAAGAGAGCCGGCGGCGGGGCCGTAAGAGAGCCGGCGGCGGGGCCGTAAGAGAGCCGGCGGCGGGGCCGTAAGAGAGCCGGCGGCGGGGCCGCAAGAGAGCCGGCGGTGGGGCCGCTTGAGAGCCGGGGCAGGGGCCGCGTCACGGCCGGCGGCGGGGCCGTAAGAGAGCCGGCGGCGGGGCCGTAAGAGAGCCGGCGGCGGGGCCGTAAGAGAGCCGGTGCGGGGCCGTGTGAGAGCCGGGGCGGGGCCACGTCAGGGCCGGCGGCGAGGCCGCGAGAGAGCCGGGGCGGGGCCGCGTCAGAGTCGGCGGCGGGCCGCGTCAGAGCCGGGGCGGGGCCGCGATCAGGAGGCGGCGGCGGGGCCGCGTCAGAGCCGGCGGCGGGCCGAGATCAGCGGGGGGTGGCGGGGCCGCGTCAGAGGAGGCGGCGGGGCCGCGTCAGAGGAGGCGGCGGGGCCGCGCTCAGGAGGGGTGGCGGGGCCGCGTCTGAGGGACAGCGGGGCCGCGAGAGCAATGGCGACCCGAAGGGTCGCGAAAAAAAATGCGCGCCTCGGGGCGCGCTTCGGTGGGCCCTAAAAAAACGGTCCTTAGGAAGGACCCGCTCTATACCATGTGAGAATAAGCGAACAGGAATGAATGAACTAGCAGTGAAATGAGTACAAACAGGAAACCCTAGAATTGTGTACCCCCTATAGGCTAACCCACTGTAGTCTACACAACCATAACATATATAATGTTTGACACTTGCACTATAAGTGCGAAATGCCGGCCAGACTGGCCGATGCACCATTTTCTCTACACATGTGCGTTAGTTACCTTTCAAACCCTTACGTTCACTAGATGAATTTATTTCCTACCTTCTATTTGAGTGAGACCACTAGATTCCGTGTACTATGCGAGATCTGAGCGCTTCCGTTCTCCCAGGCATTTGTACTCTAAGTTCCCATACTGACCGACCTGGCCAATGCACCATTTTCCATATACATATGCATTAGATTCCTTTCGAACCTTATTAGCTCACTAGATTTATATATTTCCCACCTTCTGATCGAGTGAGACCGCTAGATTCCCTTTACTTTTTGAGAAATGAGTGTTTCCGTTCTCCTTGGCCCTACTTGCACTATAAGTGCGAAATGCCGGCCAGACTGGCCGATGCACCATTTTCTCTACACATGTGCGTTAGTTACCTTTCAAACCCTTACATTCACTCGATGAATTTATTTCCTACCTTGTATTTGAGTGAGACCAGTAGATTCCGTGTACTATGCGAGATCTGAGCGCTTCCGTTCTCCCTGGCATTTGCACTCTAAGTTCCCATAGTGACCGACCTGGCCAATGCACCATTTTCCATATACATATGCATTAGATTCATTTCGAACCTTATTAGCTCACTAGATTTATATATTTCCCACCTTCTGATCGAGTGAGACCGCTAGATTCCCTCTACTTTTTGAGAATGAGCGTTTCCATTCTCCTTGGCCCTACTTGCACTATAAGTGCGAAATGCCGGCCAGACTGGCCGATGCACAATTTTCTCTACACATGTGCGTTAGTTACCTTTCAAACCCTTACGTTCACTAGATGAGTTTATTTCCTACCTTCTATTTGAGTGAGACCACTAGATTCCGTGTACTATGCGAGATCTGAGCGCTTCCGTTCTCCCTAGCATTTGTACTCTAAGTTCCCATACTGACCGACCTGGCCAATGCACCATTTTCCATATACATATGCATTAGATTCATTTCGAACCTTATTAGCTCACTAGATTTATATATTTCCCACCTTCTGATCGAGTGAGACCGCTAGATTCCCTCTACTTTTTGAGAATGAGCGTTTCCATTCTCCTTGGCCCTACTTGCACTATAAGTGCGAAATGACGACCAGACTGGCCGATGCACCATTTTCTCTACACATGTGCGTTAGTTACCTTTCAAACCCTTACGTTCACTAGATGAATTTATTTCCTACCTTCTATTTGAGTGAGACCACTAGATTCCGTGTACTATGCAAGATCTGAGCGCTTCCGTTCTCCTTGGCATTTGCACTCTAAGTTCCCATACTGACCGACCTGGCCAATGCACCATTTTCCATATACATATGCATTAGATTCCTTTCGAACCTTATTAGCTCACTAGATTTATATATTTCCCACCTTCTGATCGAGTGAGACCGCTAGATTCCCTCTACTTTTCGAGAAATGAGCGTTTCCGTTCTCCTTGGCCCTACTTGCACTATAAGTGCGAAATGCCGGCCAGACTGGCCGATGCACAATTTTCTCTACACATGTGCGTTAGTTACCTTTTAAACCCTTACGTTCACTAGATGAATATATTTCCTACTTTCTATTTGAGTGAGACCACTTGATTCCGTGTACTATGCGAGATCTGAGCGCTTCCGTTCTCCCTGGCATTTTCATTTTAAGTTCCGATATTGACCGACCTGGCCAATGCACCATTTTCTCTATACATGTGCGTTGCATACATTTCAAACCTTTTTAGCTGACTAGATTTATATATTTCCCACCTTCTGATCGAGTGAGACCGTTACATTCCCTCTACTTTTTGAGAAACGAGCGTTTCCGTTCTCCCTAGCCCCACCTGCACTATGAGTGCGAAATGCCGGCCAGACTGGCCGATGCACCATTTTCTCTACACATGTGCGTTAGTTACCTTTCAAACCCTTACGTTCACTATATGAATATATTTCCTACCTTATATTTGAGTGAGACCACTAGATTCCGTGTATTATGCGAGATCTGAGCGGTTCCGTTCTCCCAGGCATTTGCACTCTAAGTTCCCATACTGACCGACCTGGCCAATGCACCACTTTCCATATACATATGCATTAGATTCCTTCCGAACCTTATTAGCTCACTAGATTTATATATTTCCCACCTTCTGATCGAGTGAGACCGCTAGACTCCCTTTACTTTTTGAGAAATGAGTGTTTCCGTTCTCCTTGGCCCTACTTGCACTATAAGTGCGAAATGCCGGCCAGACTGGCCGATGCACCATTTTCTCTACACATGTGCGTTAGTTACCTTTCAAACCCTTACGTTCACTAGATGAATTTATTTCCTACCTTCTATTTGAGTGAGACCACTAGATTCCGTGTATTATGCGAGATCTGAGCGGTTCCGTTCTCCCTGGCATTTGCACTCTAAGTTCCCATACTGACCGACCTGGCCAATGCACCATTTTCCATATACATATGCATTAGATTCCTTTCGAACCTTATTAGCTCACTAGATTGATATATTTCCCACCTTTTGATCGAGTGAGACCACTAGATTCCCTCTACTTTTTGAGAAATGAGCGTTTCCGTTCTCCTTGGCCCTAGTTGCACTATAAGTGCGAAATGCCGGCCAGACTGGCCGATGCACAATTTTCTCTATACATGTGCGTTAGTTACCTTTCAAACCCTTACGTTCACTAGATGAATATATTTCCTACTTTCTATTTGAGTGAGACCACTTGATTCCGTGTACTATGCGAGATCTGAGCGCTTCCGTTCTCCCTGGCATTTGCATTTTAAGTTCCGATACTGACCGACCTGGCCAATGCACCATTTTCTCTATACATGTGCATTGAATACTATCAAACCTTTTCAGCTGACTAGATTTATATATTTCCCACCTTCTGATCAAGTGAGACCGTTAGATTCCCTCTACTTTTTGAGAAACGAGCGTTTCCGTTCTCCCTGGCCCCACCTGCACTATGAGTGCGAAATGCCGGCCAGACTGGCCGATGCACCATTTTCTCTACACATGTGCGTTAGTTACCTTTCAAACCCTTATGTTCACTAGATGAATATATTTCCTACCTTTTATTTGAGTGAGACCACTAGATTCCGTGTACTATGCGAGATCTGAGCGCTTCCGTTCTCCCTGACATTTGCACCCTAAGTTCCCATACTGACCGACCTGGCCAATGCGCCATTTTCCATATACATATGCATTAGATTCCTTTCGAACCTTATTAGCTCACTAGATTTATATATTTCCCACCTTTTGATCGAGTAAGACCGCTAGATTCCCTCTACTTTTTGAGAAATGAGCGTTTCCCTTCTCCTTCGCCCTAGTTGCACTATAAGTGCGAAATGCCGGCCAGACTGGCCGATGCACAATTTTCTCTACACATGTGCGTTAGTTACCTTTCAAACCCTTACGTTCACTAGATGAATATATTTCCTACTTTCTATTTGAGTGAGACCACTTGATTCCGTGTACTATGCGAGATCTGAGCGCTTCCGTTCTCCCTGGCATTTGCATTTTAAGTTCCGATACTGACCGACCTGGCCAATGCACCATTTTCTCTATACATGTGCATTGAATACTATCAAACCTTTTTAGCTGACTAGATTTATATATTTCCCACCTTCTGATCGAGTGAGACCGTTAGATTCCCTCTACTTTTTGAGAAACGAGCGTTTCCGTTCTCCCTGGCCCCACCTGCACTATGAGTGCGAAATGCCGGCCAGACTGGCCGATGCACCATTTTCTCTACACATGTGCGTTAGTTACCTTTCAAACCCTTATGTTCACTAGATGAATATATTTCCTACCTTTTATTTGAGTGAGACCACTAGATTCCGTGTACTATGCGAGATCTGAGCGCTTCCGTTCTCCCTGACATTTGCACCCTAAGTTCCCATACTGACCGACCTGGCCAATGCGCCATTTTCCATATACATATGCATTAGATTCCTCTCGAACCTTATTAGCTCACTAGATTTATATATTTCCCACCTTTTGATCGAGTAAGACCGCTAGATTCCCTCTACTTTTTGAGAAATGAGCGTTTCCGTTCTCCTTCGCCCTAGTTGCACTATAAGTGCGAAATGCCGGCCAGACTGGCCGATGCACAATTTTCTCTACACATGTGCGTTAGTTACCTTTCAAACCCTTACGTTCACTAGATGAATATATTTCCTACTTTCTATTTGAGTGAGACCACTTGATTCCGTGTACTATGCGAGATCTAAGCGCTTCCGTTCTCCCTGGCATTTGCACTCTAAGTTCCGATACTGACCGACCTGGCCAATGCACCATTTTCTCTATACATGTGCGTTGAATACTATCAAACCTTTTTAGCTGACTAGATTTATATATTTCCCACCTTCTGATCGAGTGAGACCGTTAGATTCCCTCTACTTTTTGAGAAACGAGCGTTTCCGTTCTCCCTGGCCCCACCTGCACTATGAGTGCGAAATGCCGGCCAGACTGGCCGATGCACCATTTTTTCTACACATGTGCGTTAATTACCTTTGAAACCCTTACGTTCACTAGATGAATATATTTCCTACCTTATATTTGAGTGAGACCACTAGATTCCGTGTATTATGCGAGATCTGAGCGGTTCCGTTCTCCCAGGCATTTGCACTCGAAGTTCCCATACTGACCGACCTGGCCAATGCACCACTTTCCATATACATATGCATTAGATTCCTTCCGAACCTTATTAGCTCACTAGATTTATATATTTCCCACCTTCTGATCGAGTGAGACCGTTAGATTCCCTTTACTTTTTGAGAAATGAGCGTTTCCGTTCTCCTTGGCCCTACTTGCACTATAAGTGCGAAATGCCGGCCAGACTGGCCGATGCACCATTTTCTCTACACATGTGCGTTAGTTACCTTTCAAACCCTTACGTTCACTAGATGAATTTATTTCCTACCTTCTATTTGAGTGAGACCACTAGATTCCGTGTACTATGTGAGATCTGAACGCTTCCGTTCTCCCTGTCATTTGCACTCTAAGTTCCCATACTGACCAACCTGGCCAATGCACCATTTTCCATATACATATGCATTAGATTCCTTTCGAACCTTATTAGCTCACTAGATTTATATATTTCCCACCTTCTGATCGAGTGAGACCGCTAGATTCCCTTTACTGTTTGAGAAATGAGCGTTTCCGTTCTCCTTGGCCCTACTTGCACTATAAGTGCGAAATGCCGGCCAGACTGGCCGATG